CACAGAGGGGAAAGTTTAAAGAAGTTAGGCCTACCAGAGGCAGAGGCGCTCTCCAACCACCCACATGTCTTCAGTGTGAGAGATTGCGGCCAAAGTCGCTGCTCATAAAAACATGCTTCCTCCCAGCCACTGGGTGACAGAGCTATGGAGTGAGTGCGCTAGAGACTCAAATGAGTGGGGTTTTTTTATAGTAGAGGGTTTTACGGCGCTCGCAACTGCATAAGGTCATATGAGCGCCGGTAAGTACGCGTGGACGAAGCTGCTCATTTTTAAGGACAAGTGGGCTATTCCGAAAAATGCTGTTATGAGAAAATCGAAGGTAAAGTTTTTGCCCCTTGTTCAATTTCAGTAAATAACAAGGGAAGTTTTCTCTATAACGAAACTAATTATTTACACACCAATGAAACCAAACTTCTCCTATAGGTAGGGCAATGCCCACTTTTGGTGTCGGACAAGATTTCTGGAAACCCCCAAAATCTAGGTTAGCCCGCTTGTCCTTAAAAGCGACTAACTAGGTGCCAGTCCACTTGGCGGTCTACCACGATGTTTCTGTTCTATAACGGTAACCAAAGGACCAGTCTGACAAACAACTATTCCAGTATGCGAGTAAACACACAAAGAACTGAAGGAGGAGAGGTAGTTTAGTTTTTGTAAGAGTTTTAAGGCACTTGCAACACAATAAGGTCATATAAGTGCCGAAGATTAGACGTGTTACAAGAGAGTAACAAATACAAATAAGAAGGAGGAGAGAGAAGAATGACGATAGTTTTTTATAGGAGAGAAGGAGCAGACCACATCAGAGAGCCCGCCAACCACCCAGGCTCCCTCTTCAACAGGGCAGAAAAGAACAACATATTTTTTACACCCCCCTTCCCCATAAGAGAAAAAAAAACAACCCCAAACCAACAAAAAACACAGGGAGGAGAAGACAACGTTTTCCTTGATAGTGATAGCGTTGCGAACATTTTTTCTCTCTCAAAAGAAGCACTCACCTATCAATGCCATTTGACTGGTCCGTCAGACTGTGGGCTGTGGAAGAGACAAGGCGTGAGATCGTCAAAACAAGGCGAAGCAGAGGGAAAAAAGAATGACATGCAAACCAACAGACAAAACCACTATACCCACCATCCACTTTCCCCTTTTCCGCTCAGGGTGAGAGAACAGTAAAAAGAGACATACGTAAACGCATTTTAAAAGACAGACAGACAGACAGAAGGAAAGATGGGCGGGG